CACAGTTTGTTTATCCATTCTTCAGTTGATGGGCACTTTGGCTGTCTCCATCTTTTTGTTATTGTAAGTAGTGCAGCTATGAACATTCTTCTAATGCTTTTTGCTTTGTTGATTTTCCTCAGGGGTTCCCTGCACAGAGAATGACTACAAGCTGTGGTCACCCTCTGATGAGCGGGGGAATGAGTGCTTGCTAGGACATAAGACAGTTTTCAAACGGAGGACCCCCCATGCCACGTGTTTTAATGGAGAAGACTTTGACAGGCCGGTGGTCGTGTCCAACTGCTCATGCACCCGGGAGGATTATGAATGGTTAGTTCTTTCATGGTTTGTACTTTATTCATTGCCATTGTTGGGGAAATGGTCTAAGGCCTGGTCCCTTCCCCATTGGAGGGCATCAATATTGAGTATCTTGTCTGAACCACGAACTAAGTGAGGCACTTTTCATGGTTCTTATAGCCATGCAATGTGGTGTTGGGTGTTATGATCCAGGGAACCACAGTCACTTACTCAGGAATAGACAATGCTGTGGTTTATTTCTATGAAACGCACTGCCACTGAGTTGATTCTGACACCTAGCGACCCTATGGGACAGACTGAAAGTGCTCTCTGGGTTTTCAAGGCTGTCAATCTTTATTGCAGAAGCAGACTGCCACATCTTTCCCTATGGAGCAGTGGCTGCTGACTTTGCCCCAACTTTTCCACTGTGCCACCAAGACTCCTTTATTTCTGGGTTGTTGTGAAGTGCTGTGAAGTCGATTCCAACTCATGGTGACCCTGTGTAGCAGGGGTGGAGAATGAAATCATTTGGTCTGGCCCTGCCAAGACAACATTAGTTCTAGCCATCACATTAGGGGTGAGTTAATTAAATGTTAGACCAAATATAGCAGGCTGACCTTTAAGGTGATAATTTTGTATGGCCCGTGAATGATGTTGTAAATATTCAGATGGCCATTGGCAGAGAAAAGGTTCCCCACCCCTGTTGGGTTTACAAGGAGCAGCTGGTGGGTTTGAATGACCGACCCTGTGGTTCGCAGTCCAGTGCTTATCCTACAGCACCATACCAGAAGTCCTTACTTCTTTGAGAGTAGCCCCAAACAGGAACCCATTGAAAGTAATTCCTTTCCCTTAAGAGTCCTATTCTATGGGGGATTTATTTCTTTACCTAAAATGAGGATTATCAGTCTATATATTTTTGCCTCATTCATTAAGCAAAATGCTCAAGGTACTCTTAAGCATGCTGAAAGTAGAAGAGACAGCTGGTGCTCCAATAATTGTAAATAGGAGGTGGAAAGTGTTAAGTACCTGGGTACGGTTGAGATGATTACGAGCTAGAGAAGGATTGGGATTTGCTCTTGCTAAATTTGTGAGGACTGTTTGAAGTCTGCCTTAAGGAATATCTGGATATGTGGGCAGAGAGAGAGGCCTTCGAAGAAACTGCAGCAGTGGCAGAAAAGGGTGGAGGCAGGAAAGTGGCGGTTGGTGTTCTGGTTGTGGATTGCCTTATTATGTGTCTGAAGCAAGGGCAGTAAATGGAGCCTGAATTCAGCAGAAATTCAGCCTGAAGAGGTAGGGGAATGTTAGAGAGACTAAAAGCTATCCTAATGAGTGTGAACCTTACTGGGTCAGTAGTAGGAGGTCTTAGAAGTTTTTTGAAATGGGTTAATAATCAGAACAGGGCTTTCCTTTAGTAACACCCTGGCAGGTGCCCATGGACAGTCCCTGTTGTTGTTAAGTGCCGTTGAATCAGTTTCGACTCATAGCGACTACAAGAAGCAGTTGGTGGGTTTGAACTGCCAACCTTGTGGCTAGCAACCCAATGCTTATCCTCCAGCAATCCATTGGACAGTCCTTAGAATATATAATTCAGCATGAGACTGGCCTAGATTAGACAGGGACATCAGGAAGGTGCAAATATTGAACAGAGAAACACTCGTAACCACATTTTGCTTCATGAAAGTCAGAAACCACTGGTGTTTTCTATAATGGCAGGTACCAAATGTGTTGAATCAAGTTGTTGTTAAGTGCCATTGAGTCGAGATTCTGATCCGTAGTAGGGTTTCCAAGGAGCAGCTGGTGAGCTTGAACCACCAACCTTGCAGTTCAAACGACTTTGCAGTCTGATGCATTAGCCCACAGCACCACACCAGGATTCAATCAAGTACCGTATAGTAAATATTTAGACTTGGTGGGTTATGCAGTCTCAACTATGGTAGCATGAAAGCAGCCATAGTCGAATGAATGTGGCTGTGACCCAGTAAAACGTTATTGACAAGAACAGCCAAGCAAATTGGACTGTTTGTTTAAGGACAGCGCTTCCCAATAGTTAACATGCATTTGAATCACCGGTAGTTGTTTGTAAGCGCAGTAAAGCAGGTTCCAACCCTCTGTAGGGTTTCTGAGGCAGTAAATCTTTCTCCCATGGAGCAGCTGGTGGACTTGAACCACGGACTTTGTGGTTCACAGTCCAGTGCTTATCCTACAGAGCCTTCATATTCCCATGAAATACATGGAATTTGTTAAAATGCAAATGTGGACTCAGTAGTTCTATACACTTGCACTTTTAAGAAGCTTCCAACCCAAAACTCCAAATCTGCTTCTGTTGAGGTGATCCAGCCTCATAGCCGCCCACAAGACAGAATAGAATTGCTGCCCTGTAGGGTTTCCAGGACTCCCGGTGTGATACTATAAGATCAGCACTGGACTGTGAACCACAGGTTAGCAGTTCAAACCCACCAACTGCTCCTTGGAAACCTTATACAGGGTCGCTATGATTTGGAATCGACTTGACAGCACTTAACAACAACAACAACAACAACAACATCAATAGGGTTTCCAAGGTTGTAAAGCTTTATGAAAGCAGAGTGCCTCACCTTTCTTCTGCAGAGTGGATTTGAGCCACAGACCTTGTAGTTAGCAACCCACTGTGCCACAAGGGTTGCTAAGAAGCTCACAGGTGATGCTGATGCTGCTTTTCTGCAAATGGTCCCTTGAGGAGCAAGGCTTTAGATGATAGAGAAGGCATTTGTTCCCTTCGAAAATGGTTTGGTCCCAAGGTCACGACATAAATGATATACTGACGAAAACCACAGCACCGTTTGCTGTTCCTAGTGATGTCACTTCAGTGGCCCTTTGTCTGCTGGCCTCTCTCTGACGCTCCCACATTGTCATTCCAGTCTGAGAGCTTTTGTTTACCAGCTTCCCTGCACTGGGTTGGTCTGTAATCACTGAAAAGATTGTGGTGACCTCTCTGCCACGCCTTTCCATCCCCAGTAAGTGCTTCAAAATAAAAATCAAGCTAAATGAAAGATAAGAAAATCCAACAGATGTTTGGTGTTTTTCTTGATGACCACTGTTAGGCTGCTTTTTTAAAAAATAAAATAAAATACAAGAACAGACCTTTAAATCTTCCTCTGTGGTCCAAGTGCCCCACCTTGTTCTGACTTCCAGAAACCTACTGGGTACTTGTTCCTGGTGTGTGATGAGTCTTGAATATTGCAGAGCAGGAAAACCACCTGTCCTATCCTTCATGGTGTTGGGCTGCTGACCAGGGGAAAGTAGGAGGTGATGGCACTTTTAGAATGGTAAAGGACTGATGGATTTCAGGCATCCTGCTTCTGTTTCTCTGTGTGCAGTAGCTGCTCGATAGGGCCAGCCTCATTGGCTTGGCTCTTGGAAATGTTTGATGGGATTGGACAACAGCAACGAAAGAAGGAAGTGGTCCAAAGAGGGATAGAGGAGAGAAGAGGCAAACAAGAGGATGCATCATATCTATAGGTTTCTTTGACAATCCTTCAGACCACATTAGCACATATAACTGGTTGCTGTAGAGTTGATTCCGAGTCCTGGGAAACCCTATGTGTGTTAGAGTAGAGCTATGTTCCACTGTTTTCAGTGGCTGAATTTTTTAGAAGTAGACCACTGGCCTTTCTTCTGAGGTACCTCTCTAGTGGACTTAAACCTTCAACCTTTGGTTAGCAGCTGAATGTGTTAACTATATGCACCACCATACATTCCCTGATTCCAAGGGTAGTTTTTTCCATCTTTATAAGAAAATCCAACCAACCATGCCAAGAACTGTGGTTTCAAACACTTGCCTACAATCCTCAGGACACAATGTAATTCATATCATGAACGCCTACCTACACTATACACCTACACACAATTGAAGCACCATTTATTCGGAAATGTGATGTGTCTTGCCATTTTCTGTTCTTTGGTTTAGTGGTTGGAAAATCTGGTCTTGACCCTCCAAATTGCTCTCACAATCCACTAGGTGATGACCTATATTTGAAGACAACTGCTTAAGAATGGTACTTGGCTAGTGAAGGCAAATAAGTGATTAGCTAATGTCCTACTTATTCTCCCAGAAAGATTGAAAGCAAGCAGACATTCAATGAAAATGAACTGATTTAATGAATGAGACCTGTTGGATGCAGAAATAAAACTTCCTTTGACCTTATGATCGAGCAATTCCTCTACTTGGTATTTACCCACAAGAAATACGAGCCATAACACGAGTAGATATATGCACACCAATGTTCATAGCAGCACTATTTACAATAGCAAAAAGATGGAGACAGCCTAAGTGCCCATCAATTGAAGAATGGATAAACAAGCTGCGGTACATACACACAATGGAATACTATGCTACCTTGAACAATAACAAGAAAGCTACAAGCCACTGCAAAACATGGATGAACCTTGAGGACATTATGCTGAGTGAAATTTTTGTTGTTGTTAGATGCCATCAAGTCGGTATCGACTCATAGCAACCCTATGCGCACAGCAGAAC